AAAAAAAAAAAAAAAAAAAATCCCTCCAAGCTCTACATACATTTTTCTCATTAACAACATGCATATAACTAGTGTACAGCTATTTCCCAGCCACCAGCCTTCCTTCCTTTCTGGAGAGGGAGCGGGGAAAAGTCAGCTGACCTTCTGAACAGTGGTGGTGAGATCCAAGCAAAGCTGAATGATTCTGTTCTTTGTTGATGAGAAATCAGCAATTCCTGTAAATGGGGTCCTGTAACAAGACAGAAGTCTCCTTTAGAATTAAGAGTCCACTATGCTGCCAAATCTGGCTGTTACAAGCAGAGTGCTGTGATGCAGGCACAGGTCTGACAGCAGACTCAAAGTCTGTTTGAATTAAGAGGTTAACAAACTGTAAATTTAAAGTGAATACTGTAACAGTAGTAAACAAACTTAAGCGATTTTTAACACTAGATTAATATTAGGCAAGCATGCCCATATGGTCAGAAACAAGTGATTTTTGCAACAACTGTTTTGTCTATCATGCAAAATAACTTGGAAAAATTCAGCCTGCCTAATGGCTTCCTTTTCTCTATGGGGAGTCAGGTACAGAGCTGCAAGCTTTTTAATACTATTTATAAAAGACTCAAAATTTACCTCATTAAAAAAAGAGATGACTTTAGACAGGTTGGGAGGGGATTCACCTCAGTCCTTCTACTAGCCAGTTTGAGGGGCAGGGAGAAAAGGAGAAGAGTTCAAAGTTGGATAAGCTAGCCCAGGGGTTGTGAATTGCAGGGTACGTGTAGGGGGTACTTTGAAAGGTCCTAGAGAGTACATGGGGGCAGGCAGGGACAGAGCGATGCCACCCCATGCCACGGCCTCATAGGAGCAGGGCCAGGGTGGAGCGAGAGCAGGATCGCACAGACGCTACGCTGCCGCCGCTTGCCATGCCCCCACTCCATTTCTGGCCACTCGCCACCTCTCCCTCCTGCCCCAACTCTGCGTCCAGCCACTTGCCACACGCCCCTCCCCGGGTACAATTATTAAAAAGGGGGCCGCCAGGCGTACACTTATTCCAAAAAGGTTGAAAGCCCCTGAGCTAGCCATGTTGCTTCTGGAGCCAAAGGTAGCAAAAAGAAATTATGGGGACAAGCAGTAATCAGGAGGAGAGGACAAGGCAGGAAGAGCAGGCTGCTGATGTCACTCCCAGGAACAGAAGAAGGTCCAACACTGACAGAAGGCCCGTTTCAAAGGATTAAAGGTCTCGCTGCCCATGATCTCTCAGCTCTCTTTTTAACTTTCCTCCTTGGGAAAGCTGGCAGGAGGAGAGAGAGTTTATGCTTATCTATTATCCCGCCCAGCATCACAGTCAGAACACTATCTGCTCTGTTGCCTTTTTGCTTCCGCTGCAGCTGTCACAGAGCAAACAGTCCTTGCCAGAAAAAGTGAAAGAGTCTCTTGCTGCCTAGTTTTTCAAGCATGCAGCTGAGAGTGTGAATTCAGTCAAAAATTAAAACTATTCACATTAACAGATTGTTCTTTCAAAAATATTTGCGGGGGGGACAGTAAGGAAAGTCACAGGTGGAGGAACTTGAGTCTACTTTAGATGCCTATCTTCACTAAGAGGGGCAAGGGGAACAGGGGGAAGGGTCTCCTGCTATTGTAAGTATTGGTTCAAATCCATTGGTTTGTAGAATCACTTCCATTCATTTTAGGGGTGTTGAGAGTCCAAGTGTAGGCATTCTATAGCCATCACCACCAGGTCAATGAAACCTGCCAATTAAAGATGTATGTATTAGGAAGGAGACAAGGAGGCCTTTACACCCACACACCATGCTAGAAGTAAAAGAATAATTCTGGTTACAAACACATATGAACATTTAAAAACAAAAAACAAACTAAAAAAACTAAGAACAGAAATCATGCACCAATATCATACCTGTCCAGCCAGGCTAGTAAAGCCTTAGCAGCACCAATGAGCTCTACCACTGAAGTGAGGAATTCATTGGGGGGTTTGCGTGAGGTATTTCCATCATAATTTGAACTTTTCCTCCGACTAATGATATAATTCTGCAGATTGTTGGAAGAAGCTCGTAACTTGAGAACCAAGTTCTTCATATTGTCCGTTTCAAGGCCATAATTCTGCAAGAAAGTTTAGTGAAAAATAATAGCAGATAGACCCTGTCTAAGTTAACTAGACCATCAGACAGACAGATTCTTTGAGGGACCTAGCCACAATTTATACTTTATGACATAAGAAAAAAGTGTTTGTAAAATGTAAGCAACAGGGTTAACTGAAAACAAGCACTCTCAGAAAACTTTAAATTCTGTGAATTGCAGTCTCTGAATTACCAGTAGGTAGTCTGGTTCTTGAAAGTACTTCATGTTATTAACCTTTGTTAATCCTCTTTACCCTCAGTGTGCCAGCTCCTACAGAAAGCAGCAGACCTTATTATGGGTTTGTAAGCAACTAGCTAGGAAAGCATGGCTAGCTCTTGACCCATATACAGGAACTGGTAAGTGAGGAGATCCAGAGTTTTCTGAACATTCAGACATAGCAGGGTTCCATGTCCCACTGCAGAATGCCACATATCCTTAACCCTGTCACCATCTCACTTTGTAACCTGTAGAATAACTTTTCCAGGTGCCAAAACTCCTCAGTTTCTAGTGAAGTCACTGGGAATTTTATCCTTTACCCAAATGTAATTGAATCACAGCATCAAAAAGGAAAGGAAAGCAAGCTGGTTTCAGATGATCTCAGTACTAAGATGGAAAACTAGAAATAGCAAAGCTATGTTCCATTTGCAACTAAAAGAAAGCTTTTAAGCCTATGTGGGAGCAAAAAGCAAACTACCAGAGAATGAATGTAACCTCACAGCCATAAACAAGCATAAATATTTTGATTATGACAAGCAGCCATGTTCCTCTACTAGGGAAGTTCATTTATTTTGGAAAATGTCTCTTTAAAGCCAGCTCATGAGGAGTACACAAGAACTGGGCTACTCAAGGAAATCACTAGCTACATTTTGAAAAAGTCAAGGATCTACTGTGTGCACCAATTTTTTTGTGAAATTCCCCTATCACTGCTTTAGCAGACATATCGCTCTGCCATCACAAGTGTCTGAGCAGAAGCTACACCAATGCTAGAGCAAAGACTGAAATTCAAAAACCTCAGGCTTCAAAACACTCAAGCTAAATCCACCACTACCCAATATGAAACTTATAAAGAACAAAAAATCCTTATACCAAGGGAACATACAAACATTCAGGGAGCTTAGGGGGAGGTTAGATCGAGTTAAAAAGGGGCACCTGATCTAAGGTAAGTTGGGCTGGGAAGGGCAAGCAGGGCCCATAGGAGGAGGCCTAGCAGGGTCTGCGGGGGGGTTGGGGGCCTAATGCAGACTGGGAGGGTTTGGCAGAATCAGGGAGACGAGTATGGTCCACAGAGGATTTGGAGGGATGGGGGGGCTAATGGAGTCCATGGAGGGATGGTGGGGTCAAAGGGGGCTTGGGGAGCCCAGGACAAGAAGCTATTTTTAGCCAACAAACTCCACCCACCCCCAGGCAAGCAAAACCCCATCCCCAGCAAACTACCCCTGCATCCTGCCCACCACTCCCCACCCCCCACACCCCAGCTTACTTCGATTGGGTCCTGGCACTAGAAGAAGTTGCTGGGATGGGGAAGTTGGCAGACTTGCAGGCCAGTCCATGGGGTGGGGAGGGAGTGTCCATTTTGAGGAGGGGAAAGGTGTTTGGGGACTAAAAATAGCCTGGTGCCAGGGGGAATGGGCAGGAAAAACACAGCTTCAAGGCTGGGACCAGCAGCTGGGCTTTCACAGCTCTGGGGCTGCACTGGGAACTAAATTTCTGTACAGTTAGGCCAGTCTCACCTGACCTGATCTAAGTTAGACTACCCTCCATGGTACAGTTAACTTGCCTCAGGTCAGCCATTTATAGATCAATCTAAACTTCCTGAACTTCTGTAGAGTTTGCTCCTGGATCCCTAGTTAAGTCAACCCAAGTATACGGTCCACACCCAGGTGAACCAAGACAAGCCAGCCATTCTTAATGTGATCTAACCTCCTCCTAACCTCCCTGAACATCTGTACCTACCCAACATTAAGAAACAATTATACCAAGAAGGCTTACACCTTTTAGCATATACATCAGGAAAAATGAAGTTTTCTGGTGGTTTTCTGCATAGCCAGCACTTGGCACCAAAAGCACTGACCAATGGTAAGAAATAGGCAACAAATCAGTGAAAATATCAGTCTTCCTTCCCATGTCACATCATGCTTCCCAGGCCCTCCCACTGCCTCTAGAAATGGCCTTTCACATTTATCTAATGCTAGATACCCTCCCAACCCTGACCTTTACTGGCAATACTCCTAATGAGGAATTTGTTACAGACTGTTGTGCTCCACTCTATTCAAATCTCAGATATTCTATGGTTTCCCTGGTCAAAGGTTCACGATAAAAGCTGGATGCTGGCAACTAAGGAAGTTCCAGAGCAAGCAACAGGGAATGAAATAATACAAGTTACAACAAAGTGATATTTGCCATCACTGAACTTCATTCAAAACTACCTCCCTCTGGCCAGAGTCTCTGAGAGGGTGGGGTGTTTATTGCACAAGCCCCCTAGTGCACTTGGCAAGGGAGCACAGAGCATTTTTAAAAGTGCAGTGAGAGGTCAATTGCCAGAGTTGAAAGGAGGATGTGCCTGAGAAGCAAATACCCTTGCAACAGCAAAGGATATCCTTAAGTTTTCCTGCATCATGGAGAGGGAAAGATGCTGGCTTTGATAAAAACAAAGTCTAAGTACTAACTGCAGCTCCATAAACTTGCCACCTTTCAATTTAAAGAAAAATAAACAACAGAACATCATTCCAAGGGGCTTCCAGCAGCCAAGTTTTCCACTCTCTTTTACAAGACACCTTGAGTTGGTTTGTTTTTTGGTGTGCTGCTTCTCCACCAGCAGCTCTGGCTGCTACGCCAGCTGCTGTAGCCACAAAAATGTGAAAGTGCAATGTGCCAAAAAACTCTAAAGGCCTACATCCCCTGTTAAAGAAGTAGGATGGATTGAATATACCTTCACCAGGGACTGAAAATGTTAAAGCTCTTTTACTCTCAAGGGTATCAAACGAACTAGTCAAATTAGGCAGCCAGAACTTCATATAGACATGCCACCATTTTAAATGGGGGAGTAGGGAGAAACCACAAACTTGTCAAGGTCTGAGTTTCACAGACACAGGCATTAAATTATATGCAAAAATAATAATAATAAAAAAAAAGTGCACGCCTAAGTTGTGCAAGCTTTTATCATTGAATAAAACTACTTCACTGCATACCTCGCTCAGTTTCAAAGGTGGGCAAGCAGTGGAGGGGGAGCAGGAAGAACTCAGGTTTCATCTTTCCTATAGTTGTTATGGTCACATATAAGATTTACTTCACACTTAGCCTATATGTTAAAAAAATTAAAAAATAACTCCAGACTAACAAAACAAGACACTCCCTTGCACACATTTCTCCTCAAGGAGTGGATGGGTGAACCACCATTGTGATGTTGTTCAGTCATATGTCTTAATGCACTCTAAAAAGGCATTCAGATATTGGTATGAGTGTGGCATAAGAAAGGCATAATTAGGAAAGGGTAGTCAAAAGAAAAAAAATTAGGTTGTTTTAAAAAAACAAATTTAATAAACTGTTAAGATTGCACTGTTAAGTGTTGTTTCAAGGAAAAAGTTGTTACTTATGTTTCTATCATTTATACTTTTACAAAAAATCCTAAAAACCTTTCTTTTTTGGTTCAGTCTATCAACAAACATGACTTTCACTAACGCAGAGAAAAAGAAGCAGACCATTGGAAACGTATTAGTTCAAACATTCCTATCTAGTTATTCATTAATTTGGGTAGCTCTGCAAGTGTGTGGCTTGAGAGAATACACCTCAAAAGAACTGTTTTTCAGAATCACATTATAGTTTACAGAAACAGCAGTCCATTAAATACTGCACTGCTCAAATAACTGCTTGAGTTAGAACAGCCAAAATAAAAGGACATGTTCAAATGGACATCTCCTAAAGCATTCCTGCAATCCAAAAACTCTTGTGGAAATTCTTAGTGCACATCAGTAACTCAAGATGTTCATTCATTCTCAGTTAGCATACCTAGTATTGGGCTAAGTTGGTAGCTCCAGAAACCTAGCTCATTTATGTGTAACCCAGACACACAGCACTACCTGAGTGCTGGAATCCTGGAATGCCCAGCAGCGTGAGCCTCACTTGGCTCTCCTGGGAGCTGACATGGGGCTTTCCAACAAGGGAGGGTCCCTTTTACACTTACAAACCCTTTGCAACCACAGATATAATTTTTACAAACACATAATCATATACAATTTAATGATATACAGAATAAGATATAGCTAAAGCAGATACAAATTACAAATTGCTACCAAAATAACTCTATATGCATTATACAAAAGGACCACTGGTGGTACAAGGATAGTCACTTGGGTGCCTATGGGTTTCACAAGGTGATAACCCCTCAAGTATGATGCAAGTTAAAGGGAAAACATCAACTATAATTATACACTGAAACACTAATAAATAAATTGCTTAATACTTATAAACATGAGCTACTGGATACTTATTTATAAACACTGCTGATGACCTTTGTGCGCAATTAATTCACACACGTACTCTGGTACGCTGAATCAAGGATTTGGGAGAGAGGGGAGGGAAAATGAATAGCCCCCAGCTCCTCCCACTAGCACCGTGGCAGGTCCTTCCACACTGGCCCAGGCATCACCGCACTGCTGGCAGCTAGTCCTATATCTGGGTCCCTTCAACACATAATGTGCACTCCCTCAGCCCTGGCACAGTGGGCTGCACAGCTCAGACTGTAGGCTAAAACAGATACACTTCTCCCACAGCTGAACACATACGGTTTAGCTCCTGCAGCCTGTGCCCTCCCTTCAGGTCTCACACACAAACAAGCTGGGGCTAGTTCCCCAAGTCTCACCTCCCCTTGCTCTGAGCACTTGGAGGCACCAGACCAGGTTTCTGCAGGCAGGCAGGCAGGCGCACACAAACGCGCGCGCACACACACACACTCCCCTCCCCACCCATGTGCTCCTCAAGAAGCT